GGAGCATGAAGAGATGAGACTGGGAGGAAGAGGAAGATGGAGGTGGAGATGAAGGAGAGGGTGGAGAACCAGAAGTGGTTTGAGGATCAGGAGCAGTTGATGGTTGTTCTAAAATAAAGTTTTATTTATTAAATAATTGCTAAATAATTTCTAATGAAAACCAAAGTTAATATTTTCATCCTCTGACCTTCCACAGAGATCCTGCTGGATGGAGACTCTCCCTGACCGCTGATGCTGCACTTATAGAGGCCTTCATCAGATCTCCTCACTGGGTTTAGGGTCAGGTTACCAGTAGTTCCATGACCAATGAAGGAGCCATCTTTATAGAAAGCAGCTGGGAGGTTGTGGGCTGGACTCTTTGCTCTGCAGCTCAGAGTGACGTCATCTCCCTCCATCACAGGGAGGACAGGACTCTGCAGGATCACTGATCCACCTCAACACAGAGACAAACTACAGCATTTCATCCATTTCCACACAGCAACACTAACTCCACAGTCTGATCTTACCAGAGACAGAGAGCTGGATGCTGCTGCTGCTGGAGGATCCAGACATGGACTCACACCAGTACAGGCCAGAGTCTGATGGGTACAAATAGCCGATTTCACAGGTAGAACCAGCTGATCTCCCCCATCCATCTCCACATCGCTTCCTGGTTCCTCTGGTTGTGTTTCTCCTCACAGTTCCTCCATCAGAGCTGTTTTCATCCTCACAGATCAGAGTCACTGATTCTCCTTCAAAGAACTGAGATCTGCTGGGACTCACAGTCAGAGCAGCTGGAGAGACTGAAGAGATTCAATTATTATATCAGTTAAAGCTGAAAAAAATCATATTCATTGATGATCCAAATCAATATTTTTCATTAAATTCTCAAATGACATCTTTAAATGTTTAAAATAATCTTAATGTAACAAAGTTCACCAACCTGGATCTGTAGAGCAGCTCAGCAAGAAGATCAGAACTAGAGAAAAATAAACATTCGTTCTTTATAAACTAAAGCTGAACATGTTGAAAACAATGTTCTCTGAAACTGTGTCATTTTAGACTTTATATTTACTTTAATAGGCCATTTTTACTTTTGACCACATCTTTATTTTTATGCACATTTTCCAACTCCAAGCTGTATAAACTTAAACGCTTATTGAACATAAACATATCAGCTGATGTGTGTTTGCATAGTGAGGGAGATCAACACTCTGTATCACGGTGTGATGATTATTATCAGGTCAAATGGGCCTAAAACAGATTTAAGGGACTCTGAAAAGTCCAAAATGGTAAAAAGTCTTTCAGAGGAAATTAGCACTGTTGAAACCGGGTCATGATCTCAGAACCATCAAACGTTTTGGGTCACAAGAAACATGTTAAGAAAAAAAGACATAAATGAACTGCCAAAGATTAGAGAAGAATCAAACGTGAAGCTACCAGGAATCCATTATCTTCCAGAGCCGTCAGATTCTAGAACTGCAACCTGATGGAGATCCAGAAGTACAAGAAGTTCAGAGACCTGCCAAGGAAAGGAAGGCTGAACTCTGACCCCACTGAGCCAGACACACAGCTGAGACATCAAGACTGGACCAAGACAGATCTGGGTTTTCAAAGGGACTGATGTGATGAGAGACTGATGGACCCATGGAGGATCAGTGCTGGGCACAGAGCTGCACTTTGCATCACACAGCAGCAAGGTGGAGGCGGGGTGCTGCTACGTGC